CCTTGCCCCTCTTGCCCTTGCCAGAGCGGCGTCTCCCACTAGGGGCAGACGCCGCACCGACCGACTCAAGACCAACGAGGTCGGCCGCAGCGGCAGAGGCAACAGAGGGCAGGAGAGGGGAAGGAGAACACCCCTCAAAGATGGGGGCGCAGGGGTCACCTCGAGAGGCTCCTACAGCAACTATGCTCTTCTCTGCTGCAAGGAGGGCCTTCTCGAGGCTGTCGACTGTGAGGGTGGTGGGACAGACCGCGAGGAAGTGGTCCCGGACTACACGAAGGGAGTCAGGGAGGCGAGTGACTAAGAAGTAGAGAGTGATGTACATGGGGGGGGGGGTTCTTGGCGCAGAAGTCAGCAGGAAGCGCAGCGCGGTAGCGAGTGTCACTAGTGCGGAGGTGCGTGATGAGATCAGCGACAGTGGGAATGGCGGCAAGGTCAGGGAATAGGAAGGGGAGCATGAGGCGGCTCAGTGCAGCAGTGGCAGGGGAGGAGTAGCGCGCAACTACAGCGTCGTACAAGGTCTGAGCACTCTTGTACTGGCTAAAGTGCGCGCGCTTAGCGATAGGCAGGTGGCGACGCACAGCAAGACGTGCAGCAGCATCGCGCGTGGCCCACTGAGAGCGAACAGTGGCGTCAGCATCAGAAGCAGGGGCAGGGACGGCGCCAGAGGTGAGGTCAAAGAGAGACAGACCGTCGGCCCTGTCGCACTGTAAAAACAGCTGCAGGTCGTCGAGCCAGACCTCAAAGTCAATGGCTCGACCCTCAGCGTCAAAAGCGAGGACACTGGGTGTAGCCATGACTACGACAATGGAGCAGTGCAAGCAGTAGGGGAAGGGTACGCAGCGACAGCAGTGTAGTGCTCACCGGGCAGGGCAGGTCGGGCGGCTCGGGAGGAAGGTCGCCTGGCGACTCGGCCACTAGGCTGCTGGGCGGCTCGGCTCCCGGGCGGCTCGGCTGCTGCTGGGCGGCTCGGCTGCTGCTGGGCGGCTCGGCGGCTCCGGGCGGCTCGGCTGCTGCTGGGCGGCTCGGTGGCTCCAGGCGGCTCGGCTGCTGCTGGGCGGCTCGGCGGCTCCGGGCGGCTCGGCAGCTCCTGGGCGGCTCGGCTGCTGCTGGGCGGCTCGGCTGCTGCTGGGCGGCTCGGCGGCTCCTGGGCGGCTGCTCTTGGGTGGCGTGGCGGCCCTTGTAGGTAGGGCGGCCGGGCGGGCTGCAGGGAGCGCGGCGGGTAGGCCGCAGGTAAGGCGACGGGACGGCCGCAGGTAGGGCGGCGGACGGCCGCAGGTAAGGGCGGCGGGACGGCCGCAGGTAGGGCGGCGGGTAGGCCGCAGGCAGGGCGGCGGGACGGCCGCAGGGAGGGCGGCGGGTAGGCCGCAGATAGGGCGGCGGGACGGCCGCAGGTAGGGCGGCGGGTAGGCCGAAGGCAGGGCGGCAGGACGGCCGCAGGTAGGGCGGCTGGTAGGCCGCAGATAGGGCGGCGGGTAGGCCGCAGTAGGGCGGCGGGACGGCCGCAGATAGGGCGGCGGGTGGGCCGCGACGAAGTGGCGGGGCCGCGTCTGGGTGGCGGGGCCGCGTCTGGGTGGCGGGGCCGCGTCTGGGTGGCGGGGCCGCGACGGAATGGCGGGGCCGCTCGAAGGGGTGGCGGGGCCGCGACGGAGTGGCGAGGCCGCGACGGAGTGGCGGGGCCGCGACTGAGGGGCGGGGCCGCTCGAAGGGGTGGCGGGGCCGCGCGTAGGGGTAGCGGGGCCGCAACTGGGTGGCGGGGCCGCGATGGGACGGCGGGGCCGCTAGCAAGGGAGAAGGGCGACTCGGAGGGTCGCTAAAAAAAAGGTGCGCGCCTCGGGCGCGCTTCGGTGGGCCCTAAAGAACAGTCCCTAGGATGGGACCTGCTCTGATTCCATGTGAAATAAGGAACGTGAATGAATGAACTATGAAATGAAGTGGGTACAAATATGAAACCCTATTTGGGTTGTACCCCCTATGGGATAACCCACTATAGCCTACAGAAATGAGTAAGCTACAATGTTTAGACAAGGAGGGGGGAAGGGGGGGCTGGGGGGGATGGGGGGGGGAGGACTAACGACATTGGCGAGAATTTCGAAACTGACAAGAGTTCCGAAATTCTCTCGTGAGCGGATTATAAGGGGGGACGCGCTGTTGACTGGCGAGACATTTCTTACTGGCGTGAGTTTCGAAATTTGCGATATTCTCGAAACTGAGTTGCATGTTACTTGAAACTTGATATATACATGATATAAACGGATTCGACCGTATGTAGATTACGATTATTATTTAAAGTATAGCCTTTTTTAGTCCATTTGATTCAGCTGGTTTAAGCAACTAGAAAACTATATTCAATATGTTAACATCCTTTGCTAATTACAGATGTCATAAAATTTTCAGAATGCAGACATCAGTGGGATAAAAATCATCACTGAGTTTAAGATATACCTTAAATTGAACCTTCGACCACTCGCAAACATTCAGATGCACTGGAACATCCATGCTGAGATGGGTGGTGCCAACTTGTTTAACTGACATAAACAGCAAGGTTTCCCATGAAAAAAGTTGCGACAGTAGTCGAACTCGAGACCTTTCGGTCTACAGAGAATTATGACGACTCTGACATTCGGCAATGCTAGGATGGTTTTGAGACATTTTGTTTAATCTCACCGAGTAGCCCACCACAATTCTAGGTTGGGATACATTTGGGAAGTACTGTATACTGTCCCGAATGTCCCTTTTGGGAGTGGAGACAGATCTGGGACATTTTGAGACCCAAAAGAGTCTTTCGAGATGTCAATTTCGAGGGTATGGATTTGGGACCTCAACTTTTTGCTGATGGAGTAACTCTGGCAATTTCTACAAGAGCGTGTGGGCGCCGTCCGGTTCGCTGTATGGTGGTGGTCCTGTGTGTGTGTGTTTGTTCTGTGTTTGAAAGAGCTTTTGTGTCACAGTTGGGAGTGGCTTTATTCCTGGGAGTTTCTAATATTCTAGTAAGAGTCGAATTTCCGGGGCTGTTCTGCTGCAAATCTGTGTGTGGAATGTATGCTGTTGCGTGGATCGTCGGCGATGGCTGAATGTTTTTCTCGTTTGACATGTGCTGTGATGTGCATCCTGTGGCTAATGTGCTTGCGGGGTTATTTTGTGCCTGCGAATGTCTGTGCGATGTGTGCTTGTTATGTGTGAATGGCGTTTGAGTGTGTTGGGATGTGCCTTCTGTTTGGAACGAGAAGCAACTCTGGTTTCAGTTCGGTTTGATTCTCTGTTTGCATGTGTGTTTGTATCAGTACTCTTTAATGGGAATTTATTTGAATGCCCAATTCATGTTACGAATTGAGTTTATTGTTGATGAGAAGTACCGTGTGTCGCACGAGGTGGGCGTTTCATTTCATGCGAGCTGGTAGTAACTCCTCGTCGCCAGAAAACACCGGCTGACGCCGTACCAAACACCATGCGTGACGGCGAAAATACCCGCCCAGTTGGACTATAAGTTCCCATTTGCCTGGGGTTTCGCGAGTTTTCACCATAATTTTGCGCCGCACGTATTGTTTAGTGGGACTAAAAGCGGGAACATTTGTAGTTGGGCCACGGCTACAAAAGCGGCTCAGGATTCATCTTCTCAAAAGCGGCTGTGCGCTACAATCTCAGAGCGATAAAATTTTACGAAGATATGGTCCTCCTACATCCATCGTGGCAAGACACACGCCACACCGTTGATCGACTACACCCTAATGCTCACGCAACTACCTATTCTGGACATGTTTCATGCTACTACATACGCCCAGTGGTCGACATTCCCAGCTAACGGCCCGAATGTTACAGGCCCACGACAAAAGCAAGATACTCTTGACCTCGAATAAGTTATTTGAGTTTCCCAGACAAGACACGCTAGGCTACCCAAATACAGTCCCGTTCTCCCCATGGGGAGCGCATGCTCGAGATAGGAGCACAGGGAAAGATGGGAAAGGGAACTGAAATAGGCAGCAGGTGTAGCACATGCGCTTGGCCAATCGGGATTTGACTCAAGAAAAGATTCTGTGAGCTGACTCAACAAGCTGCCCGGGACACTGTAGCGAAAGTCTGCACGTTGTCATGGGTTTCGACAACAGTCGACCTCATGTGCTTGACGACTCATGTGCGACGGTGCGACCTCTCCTTTCGCCCAGACTGGTCGCATGATCGCACCAGGATTCACCATTGTTAGCAAGTGTGCCTCAATTCTCTCCCCCGCCTCAGCTCCAGCCCAACCTACTCCAACCCAATCAACCTTTCCCAAATCAGCCTCACCGACACATCTCTGTGTTCGACATCCGTGGGGGGGACGTGAAAGCACATCCCAGCTCCGCCAATGCATATTCTCGCGGAGTCGAGTCGAGTCCCCGTTGTGGGGTGTTTTCAATTGCCAACCCAACGTTATCCGAGTGATTAGTTCCTCCGCTCCCCGCTTCTGCCAATTTTCAACCACTCAAAGCGAGGGAAGGCAATTGGTAAGGACTCTTGCACACACAGCGCTACCGAAACGACGCAGTCGAAACGACGCCGCATGTTTTTTCTCCTCCACAACCAAAGCCGGCGTTCCCGGTGGAGCCGTCTTTTCCATCCTTTTGGGCCAAAAGAGCCGTCCAAAACACGTGTGATGTGGACCGGAATGAACATAAGAACTGACTTTCATTGCGTCTCGTCGCTTGCCTTGTCAATGCGGTTCACACGTTCTCGCGCTCTTTACATTTCTCGGAGTGCGAACGATTGCGCTCTTTACGTTTTCTCGCAGAACGATTGCGTAGTCCCGCTTTCACGGGGCCCGAACGACTCGTTAGCCAGAACGAGTCCCAGAACGTTTTGCAGGTCCTGAACAATCCACGTCGCCGACTTGAGTTAGCCTGGGTTCTGCTATCTCCAAAAATAGCACCCTAGGAGTTGGCCTTTCACAACCTAGGTCGTTAGTAGGAGAAAGCTTTCTCCGGGTAGCTCCCCGAGTTCAACTCGGGAGGCGCAGCGCTCAGCTGATGGCGGCCTTCCCAGGAGCGTCAGCACCGGCAGCGGTGGGGGAGAACATGACGGATATCGTGCGAGCTGATGGGCATATGTGGCTCAAGTACGGGCAGAAGAACATTCACAACACCTCCATCATAAGGTGCGCTTTGAATGTCTCTGGCTGCATTTGTGGCACACGATCGCCTGCTGCCTTACACAACAGCAGCTACTTTGTAGTATAAGCGCAGCCGCTAATAAGGCCTTTCTACTGTCTCTTTTATCCTATCTATCGCTCGCTTCTGAGCAGCACTGTCACTATACTACTGAAACCGTACCTGCGTTTTTTCAGCATCGTGATGTCTGATCGGACGATTCGTTTCCACATTCCGTGACGGCTGCTGCAGGTGCTACTTCAAGTGCTACTCCTCCAAGAACAAGCCTGCTTGCCGAGCGAAGAAGACTGTCGACTACGATCGCCGCCTCCCCATCTCGTCCGCCACCACCCAAACCAAGTACACCAACCGCTCTCACAACCACTCCATTCCTCTCAACTGCGACGGCTCCAGCGATGCTCTCGGCCAGGGCCCGTATCCATCCAACGCTGCACATTCGAGCTCCGCCGTCGCCCTGGAGTGCGCCCCCAGCTCTGCGAATTCGAGCTCCTGTAACCTTACTGCCGTGGTTACCACCAACAGCTCGCTCACTTCCCCTCCAAGCAGAGCCGGAATCCGTCCTGAGCCGTCTGCACTTGCAAGCAGCAGCGTTCTCACCAGGGCGAAGTTCCCCATCAGACCCACCATCTCCGGAGGCGTTATTTCTTCCTCAGTTGAAGCCGATCCCGCTTGGTCTGACTCGCCGTTGGATGATGCTGCTGCCGCGACGATTGCGGCAAACCTCTTGCCGCAAAGCGTCGCCTTCACTAGCAGCAGCGAGTCAGCTGCTGCGACGCCGCCGTCACCCGCGATGCCGCCGTCTCTTCCGTTCAACTCCTGCGGATCGGCGTCTGAATCCGGAAGTCTGAGCCACTTCTTTGCTGAAAATGACTCTCTGGGTGGACACTCGCTGTGTGCGGAGAAGAGGGTCCGTCTGACGCCCTCTGACGAGGCAGCGTCTACTGAGAACGCGAGCAACTCAGCTGGTGAACCCTGGCCCACCAGCAGTAGAATTTTCGAGGCACTGTCTGCTGATCTGGATCAGAGGTTCCACCCTGAGGCGTGCAGCCCTCCCACAGCTGATGCTGCTGCACGTGACAATTCATTTGGACTTCCCGTCAAGGGCTTTTCATTCGAGGATGGCCTTGCGGCGGCGAGTCCAGAAGAAGCAAGACCAAGAGGACTGGCGCATGCCGACATTTCTTTCGAGGATTTCCTCTCTGATTTGTCTCCAGAGTTGTGTTCTGATAATTTCTGGTGTGAGGAGCCGCCTTGGCTGGAAGCAGCGGATGTGAGTCCTCCATGGGGATCATCTGGCTTGTCAGCTGGCAGTTCCTCTGTTGATAGCCAAGAGCCCCACTCGATTGGCTTGAAACGCAGTGCTTCAGCCATGCTGACTGGTGCCACCGAGGCAGGAATCCTTGATGAAAGCAACCCCGGGCATGCTTGTGCGCCCTGGCCCATGCCAAAATCAAGTAGTGCGCACAGTGTGTTCAGCTTTCTGGGTGGGGGTGACACCTTGAGCGTTTCTGACTTGATGAAGCACCTGTAGTAACCAGGAGCTGTTGCGGAGACAGAGGGTCCCAGTCCCCTCTAAGGGTTTTTTTTTCATGAGCGCAGAGACTCTAGGGCTCACGTTTTTGCATGATGGGTTCATGTTTCAATAATTCGTACCTTTGTATTGAGAAATTCTGTGTACCATAGTTTTCTGGATAGAAGTCCCATAACACAGTGCGGGTGGACATATGGCGGACGGTGTAGTAGGGGTGATGCTCCACTCAAACACATCACTGTCTGGGCGATGTCACCTCCCCAGCGCGGAGAAACCCACACCTCGAGTGCAATCCGTGTTCCTGAATCCAACGGCAAATGCCAAGGGGACGGACAGACAAAGTCAGATGTGGGCGCAGCGCTTCACCTCTGCACGACCGAGCTGACAATCACCAAAGCGAATATCGCAACCGTCTACTCAGGGCATCCAATCCAGAGGCCGTTCGATCTGGTCAGACCAGTGAATTCAATCAGCTCGAGAGGGTGTGGTAAGAATTCACTGATTACGGTGTTGTACGATGTTGTGCATTTCATTTACGATGAATTGCGTTTGGGTAGGGTTTCGAGCAAACATGAAGACGCCTGACACGCGCTCTGACTTCACCATCACGCGCTCAGCTCCACTCCGAATCCGAAACACGCAGCTCTTACCGAAGGTTCCTTCTGAACTCGCCTACTTCCATCCTCCTCGAATTCATCAGTGACGAATTCTGGCACTGCGTTTCCTCCGCAGCTCAATCATCCCACACTTTCGATTCCTCGATCTTGAACCACTTTGTGTCGTTGAGGCTACGCAGAATTTTGAGATCCCTCGTTCAACAGTACAGAAGCCTTATTACGGACAGCACGCGTTAGTACCATGGAACGACCGTCACACATTCCCGCGGATCGCGATCGTGACCGTGATTGCGAAGAGCTTTCCGCGGAATGCGCTTCCGTCACAGCCCTACTGGACGACGGCACGCTCTCCCTCGTCCTCTCCTTTGTCCCCTCGCGCTTCGCCATCTCCTCGGCCGCCTTAGTCTGCCGCCGCTGGTGCCGCGTCGCGCTGCGCGTGTGTGTGCGATCGCTCCGACCGTCGCCCTTCCTGCTCCAGAGCTTAGCTCCGGGATCTGATAGCATCCTTGGTAGCTTTGATTCCGAAGCGAAGATGCTAGAGTTGACGACTCGATTCGCCGCCACACTTCGATCTCTGGAGATCCGTCCCGGCGCGAGAAACTTAACCGCCGGTGACAACGATAAGCTGACGGCCCACGGCATTGTGCGAATCCTTGAAATCGCCTCGAGGATTGAAACCCTATCTCTGGTCGGTTGCGTCGAGCAGAACTGTCCGACATTCGACTCGCTACCCATGAGCTCCTCAGATTTTGCCACGGTGGTGTTACCAGCCCTGCCACGTCAGCTCAAGCGCCTGGATCTCCGCTCGGACCACTTTCTCTGCCCTGCCGCGTGCGTGGACCTGCGGGGGTTCTGGTTAAGCCCGTGTGATGATCCGGAGATCACATACCCGAGCCATGATCGCGTGTGGGGCCACGCGGACGGCATTCAGCTTGCCGGCTCCTCCACCATCCCACCTCCGCCGCCTCCGCCCCCTCCCCGTGCTCCTGCGCCCCCTCCTCCTCCCTCTCGCGCCATTCCTCCCCCACCTCCTTCCGTTCCTCCTTCTACTGCTTCTGTCGCTCCTCGCTCTACCTCTTCCCTCCCGCCTCCCCCCCCTCCCCCTCCCCCACCTCCTTCCGCATCTCATCCTCCGCCTCCTCCCCGTCCGTGCGTCCTGCACCCCCCACCGCCTCCCCGTGCGCGCCCCCCGCTACCCCCACCGCCTCCGCCCCTCCCGCCTCCCCCCATCCGAAACCGTCCGCCCCAGCGCTCTTTCCTTACCGACCTCCACGTGAACACCATCGCCGCCTCGCTCCCTAATCTCCGCGCCCTGAACCTCGACACGCCAGCGGACATCACGGCCGCGTGCGTCGAGCACGTGGCCAGCACACTCCCGCATCTGACGGCGCTCTCGCTCTGGTCCGACGCCGTCACGTGGGAGTCGGCGGCGCTGCTCCTCGCGCTCCTCCCGTCGCTGCAGCGCCTCTCCCTCGTGTCCGGCGCGCTGGTTCCGCGCGCCTCGCCCCAGCCGGGGCGCGCAGAGGCGGGTGCAGCAGCAGCGCGGGATACTTCAGCGAATGCAGCCGCTGGTGCAGAAGCAGCGGGGTCGGATGATGCTCTATCTCTCTTCTCCTCGCTCTCCCTTGCCCCCCCCAGTGCCGGCGACCTCTTCTGGTGCCCCTCAGGGTCGTCCCTCGCGCCCTGCCGCGCCTCCCTCCGCCTGTACCTCTCCCCCCATCGCTCCGTCGCCTGGGATCAGCCTCCCGCCTCCTCGCTGCTGCTCGCCCTCGCTTCTGGCTGCCACGCCACCAGCGCAGAGAAGGATACCAACAGCACCAGTGGCGGTGGCAGCGGTGGCGGCGGCAGCGGCGGCGGCAGCAGCGGCAGCGGCAGGAGCAGCAGCAGCGGCAGCAGCGGCAGCGGCAGTGGCGCGAGCCTGTGTGTCCCACGTCCATCCTCCTCCTCTCTGCGCTCCTTCCACGCCCACAATTCCCCCGCGTCCACGTGGCTGGCTGTGAGCCACCTGTTCCGCCACCTCACCACCCTGGATCTGTCCCGAACCGAGGTGCTGCGTTCCCCACCCCCTCCCGATGGCGAGCCGGGGAGGAGCGAGGAGGCACTCTGCCGGGCCATCCGCGGCCTGCCTCTCCTGGAGCGCCTCGCCCTCCCCCTGGCGTCAGACGCTGTTCTGCTGGAGATCTCCCAGTCCTGCCCGAAGCTCACCGACTTGCACGCGCAGCCGCTAGCTCGGTTCATCCCTGTCGCATCTGCTGAGGGAAGTGGCACCAACGACTTTCTCTACTACACGTCCTCCTATGCCAGGGCCTCCGTGCGTGTTGCCCTTCCTGCTGTCCAGTGGCGGGTGACTGATGCCGGGGTGCTGGCTATTGCGAACGGATGCACGCGATTGGTGCAGCTGAGTCTGGGCGGCTGTGTGAACGTGCGACCCGCAGCGTGGCGCCAGCTGGCGAGGAGATGCGGGCGGCTGGAGGTGCTGAGGCTGCCGCGCACACGGGTGGACGACGCTGCTGTCGTGGCGGCGCTGTTCGGCGACAGCTGGCACGGCGGTGTGGGTGTGAATGGCGCCACTGCTGCTGGGGTTGCCCCTGGAATTCCACCTGGTTCCGATGCCACTGCTGCTGCAGGCCGTGCTTCCAGTGCGCCAGTGCCGCTGCAGCTGCACCTGCCACGGCTCGTCCTGCTGGACCTCTTTGGATGCCCAGGAGTGACTTCTGCCCTCCTGCTCGCTCTCTCAGCAGTAGCCAGGGAGCTTGCTGGCAACGATGAGAAGCACAGAGCTGATGGGGTGGCTGAAGAGGTGGAGAGGGATGGGGAGGGCGAGGAGGAGAAGGCACTTGCAGGCGAGGATGTGGGGCATGAGAACGGAAGGAAGAAGGCGAGAGGATACTGTGGGTTGCAGGAGTTCAGGCTGCGTCGGCTGCTGGTGTCTCCGGAAGTGATTGTTGGAGATGGGTGGAGAGGGAGCGAGGAAGGTGGAAGCGAGGGTGTGTTGGGGGATGGTGGAGGCAATTGTGGGGGAAGGGGTTCTTCTGACTATGTGGATTTGAGGCTGGTTGCGAGGGAGGTAGGGATGCTCTTGCCTCAGTTGGTGGTCACTGCTAGAAGGACCGCGGAACATGTTTTGCCTTGGGATGGCTTTTTTGGAGAGCAAAGGCTTGAGCTGGATGGTGACGATGAAGAGAGTGAGTGGGAGTGCTGATGCACATAGTGGCCATGCATTGTGAAATGCGAGAATACCTTCTCCTTTTACAGGGGAAAGAGGGGAAAGAGGGCGCTTGAATGGCAGCTTCGACAGGGCTGCTTTGGCCTATTGTGATGAGTTAGGCCTGGTTTGCTGAGTAACAGTGCCTCTGTGCCACAAGGCCTGCCATGCCATATGCCTATCTTTGTGGTCTGCTTTAGCATGGCTGGATTGGAGGTGTATATTTAGAATGAATAGCATGCAAACAAGGAACCTGCATAGAAATATCCAATCAGCTCATAAATACACAAGCACTCATGCCACAAACACCAAGCCCTTCCAGATCAACATACCCTGCTATGCCATCCCATGTACCACAAGGAATGCAGGCCCCCAGCGAGCTCATGGGCGCCCAGTGAGCCCATGGGGGGCAACCACCGAGCCAATGGGCGCCTGTGCGTAAGTCAGGACTGTAAGCAATATTGTGCTGTTAGTCTGATTATACATGGCTGCGATTTTTTTCACATGGTCAATATCACAAATAAATAGCACCCAGTACAAGGATACTGCCACACCATCATGTCATAATCAGCTCAACACACACATGAACGCTTATGCTGCACCCACCATGCTGTTCCATAGCAACACGTCCTGCCATGCCACTTGCCACGAGTAGTGGCACTTTCTCTCGATAATAACATGGGGCTGTATCCAGTGCAGCACACACTCCCACAGCTCAAACCGAAAACAACACTCCACCTCTTAACGTGAAAAGGCCTTGCACAACTCCCACCCCTCAGCGGGAGATGGGCTGCACCACGAGGGGGGACCGCACGCTGTGGCCCTGGTCGTCCGCCCAGACTAGAAACCCATACTTGAAGTCATTACTGGGGGTATCCACCGTGACCGTCACCGTGTAGGTCCCCTTCTCCCCGGGAGCCAGCGTGAGGCTCCTAGGCCCCACAGTCACCTTCACGCCCTGCGGGGGCTTCCCAGATACACTGTATGTGGACCGGGACTGCCCCACGTTGGTGACGGTGCGGGTGACCTGCAGGGAGCCCTGCAGGCGAGGCAGAGTGATGGTGGGCAGGTTGAGGTTGCGCACAGCCAGAGGGGAGAGCGCCGCCCCTGGGAACTCCTTTTTGGCGCGGTTGAGGTCCTGCCCGGCCAGGAAGTTCTGGTAGTCGCGGTCGCGGGCGTCGTAGGTGAGCCCGGGGTCGAGCATGGCCGGGGGGAACACGTGGCCTGCGCCCATCTCCCATGGGGTGGCCTCCCCGCCCGTCGCACTCTTGATGGCGCTCTTGCTCGTGTCCGTCACCCGCGCCGTCGTCATCAGCGCTGACATCACCTGCGCCGGGGTCCAGTTGGGGTACTTCTGGATGATTAAAGCGGCTAGCCCGGCTAAATGAGGGGTGGCCATGGAAGTGCCCGACATGCGGGCGAGGGCACCAGGGTCGCCGGGTTTGTTGCCGGGAGCAGCGGCTACGAGGTCGACTCCGGGGCCGATGATGTCGGGCTTCAGGATGGCGTTGCCTGGCTTGGGCGGCTGGGCCGTGGCGGACGCCTGCAGCAGGGGGCCGCGGGAAGAGAAGTCAGCCACCACGGGGGCGGACGAGGATGCAGTGGTGAATGTGATCCCGCCGTCAGTGGTCAGAACGGTGCTGCTGCTGCCGTCCGTGCCGTTGCCATTGAAGTTGCTGCCTGTGCTGCCATCCGTGCCGTTGGTGCTGGTGGTGGCACCGTGAGAGAGCGACTGAGCGCCGGCAGTTGAGGAGGCAAGGGAGGCGCCGCCTCGGGCAATGGTGCTGGCGCCAACGGTGAGATAGAAGGGCGCGAAGTTGTCAAGCGTGCGGTAGAACCCTCCACGCCCAGGAGGCCCGGCGTTGCCGGCAGCAAAGGCGACAAACACCCCGGCAGCGTTGGCGCGCATGAAAGCGAGATCGTTGAAATAGTTGTCCTCGGGATTCACGCCGCCCAGAGACAGCGACAGCACATCCACACCGTCTGCCACGCCCTGATTGACGGCTGCGATGATGTCTGGCTCCGTGGCGTACATGTCCCCGTTGCCGTCCGTCCAGAAGACCTTGTACGCCGCAATGCGCGCTGCCGGCGCCATGCCGCTCACCTGCCCGCCGCCCTTTACCTTCACGGGGTTCCCCGCGGCTGCCCCTGCGCACCACGTGCCATGGCCGTCCGCATCTCGCGGCGAGAGCCAGTCGTTGGTCAACACGGGCTTGCCGCTGCTCTGCTGGAAGCCGGCATAGAAGGCCTTGGCGCCGATCACCTTGTTGTTGCACCGGAACGAGCTCGACTGCTCGCACTTGCCCTTCCACCCCGCGGGCAGCTGCGAGGAGAGGCCCTTATCGCTGAAGGACGGGTGTTCGGGCCAGATACCCGTGTCCACGATCCCCACCACCGTGCCCTCGCCCGCTTTGCTCTGCCCGCCCACTGCCGGCCACACCTTCCCGGGCAGCCCCAGGAACTGGGGCGAGTCGCTGGTCTGCCGGCGGAACACGCGGCTGGCGCGGACGGACGCCACGGCGGGGTGGCGCCGCAGCCGCCACAGCTGGCGCGCCGTGAGGCGCGCGGCGAAGCCGTTGGACGTGTGCTTGTAGCTGTAGAGCAGCCCGTCCTCGGGTACGCCCGCCTCAGATGCCACCTGCGCCTGCTGCCGCTGCAGCAGCCCCGCGAACGCTGCCACCTGGGGGCGGTCCATGCTCAGACTCAGCCGGTGCCGCGGGCACCCGCCGCCATCGTTACGACCTCCACTGCCGTTACCACCGCGACTGCCACGAGCGCTGGGAGTGACAGCGGCGTCAGATGTTCCGTTTGCGGGCGGAGATGGCGCCGTCGCGTTTGAGAACAGCTGGGCGCCGTCGGTGTCGTCCAGATCGACGGTTTCGCCGCCTGCGGCGGCGGCGGTATCGCCAGCGGGGAGAATCATTTGCGGAACGGCCTCACTGTCCTCCTCGTCGCTGCCGTCGTCCCACGTGGCCGTGGCAGGGTAGCCCGCGATTCCGCCGCGGTATTCGGAAAGGGGAGGCGCGGCATTCAAGCGAACGATGTAGACAGCGGAACCGTCAGCTGCTGGCGTCGAGAATTCACCGGAGTTGTCGCGAAAGGGCGCTGCGAGGTGAGAATTATCGCCGCCGTTCCGCCATGCGCGGTTCAGGTTGCGCCAACCTGATTCGCGGCTTGCACTGGATGGCTGTGCGGCCAGCAGAAAAGCTCCTAGGATCAACAGTATCGCGACATCGTAGCCGTAAAGGGACCTCATTGTGAAACCTTAAATTCTGCGTGCGCGTATTGCTTGTAGGCGTGCCGAACGGTTGATTGCCGAACGAATCAGAAGAAAACAAGTGGTATACAAGGAATGGATGTCTAGTGTTATGAATGCTGTCGGAAGACTTGAGTTGTTGGTTTCGGGGGAGAGAGTGATGGTTTTGTACCCAACACACCAGCTCACATGTGTGAAGAGCCGCACATTTGGCTGGGGCCGTGTCGCGTCGTCTGCCCTTATGGTCGGAAATGTGGCAGGAAGGTGGGTCAGTTTTGGACTTCGCTTGGCCGTGGCGTTTGTGGGTCAATGCCACTGGTTCGCGAAAGTCTACGATAGAGTTATGAGCGCAATCAAGCTCAAAATTATGGCGAGACTGTGCTTCATGTTTGTAACAACATCGCAAGCCCAAATTATAACGATGTCATTTCCCAGGAAGTGGTCCAAACCCGTGATGGGCACGCGAAACCTGCTCGCTCTGCGACATTCCAAATTGACTTGACAAGAATTTGAGGATTTCGCACGGCGTGCTCCAAAATGCGGCGCGGGCCCAAAGAAAAGGCAGGGTGAATATAAATATAATATATTTAGGAGCTGTACCAGTTGAGTTGAGAATGAATATACAGCTGAAATTAGGAATGCCTCAGGCTAACTTCTGTTGTGTGGGGGATGACAGCAGAGGATTGAGTACCCCGGCTTTTGAAAGGTACTCTAGAATGCGGCAGCACACGTGGACGAATCCTACTAAGGTGTGCCATGTGGCGCTGCCAAACACTCTGCTCTCATGCCTTGGGTGGGGCGAGTGGGTCGAGACTCAGACGAGGTGCATATTGTGCTGCCTGTGCTTCATGGCAGTGCTGCACACCTACGTGGCAGTGCTGCCTGCGCCTACGTGGCAGTTCTGCCTGCGCCTACGTGGCAGTGCTGTAGGCCTTGGGCTTGGGCTTGACTTCTGCATCGTTGACGTTGCGAATGTGAATGGCGTCTCTCTCGTGCCTGTCAAGTGGGCAGCATGGCAGCCGGGGGAAACACATGGCATTACAGGTTAACACAAAGTAGCACGGCGCGGCATGTGACAGCACAGGGCAGGGGAGAAATGGCCAGGGGAAATGAGGAGAAAGAGCATCACAGAGCATATGTGCAACGCACAGCATGGAAAGCGGTGCCACACACAACAAACTGCCATGCGGTGAAATAACAGCAGCATGGCAGAGAGAGCAGGGGGGCAGAGAGAGCAGGGGGGCAGAGAGAGCAAGGGGGCAGAGAGAGCAAGGGGGCAGAGAGAGCAAGGGGGCAGTGTGGGCAGGGGGGCAGTGAGAGGAGGGGCAGCACTGACGGGATGTCGCCCATCTCGAAGGTGTAGCTGGCTGCCACGGCCAGCAGGCGGCCGTCCCGCGAGAATGACAGTGCTGCGATGCTCGTGGGGTACTTAGCGTACTGCCACGGGTCGCGAGGGGATGGGTGGGTGCATGGGTGCATGGGCGTTGGGGTGCGAGGGTGTGTAGGCGGCACGCGTTGCCATGGTTGCATGAGGGGCAGCATGGGGGCGAGCACAAGCGGGAAAGGGAGGGAGACATAAGAACGAGGGAGACATAAGAACGAGGGAGACATAAGAACGAGGGAGACATAAGAACGAGGGAGACATAAGAACGAGGGAGACATAAGAACGAGGGAGACATAAGAACGAGGGAGACATAAGAACGAGGGAGACATAAGAACGAGGGAGACATAAGAACGAGGGAGACATAAGAACGAGGGAGACATAAGAACGAGGGAGACATAAGAACGAGGGAGACATAAGAACGAGGGAGACATAAGAACGAGGGAGACATAAGAACGAGGGAGACATAAGAACGAGGGAGACATAAGAACGAGGGAGACATAAGAACGAGGGAGACATAAGAACGAGGGAGACATAAGAACGAGGGAGACATAAGAACGAGGGAGACATAAGAACGAGGGAGACATAAGAACGAGGGAGACATAAGAACGAGGGAGACATAAGAACGAGGGAGACATAAGAACGAGGGAGACATAAGAACGAGGGAGACATAAGAACGAGGGAGACATAAGAACGAGGGAGACATAAGAACGAGGGAGACATAAGAACGAGGGAGACATAAGAACGAGGGAGACATAAGAACGAGGGAGACATACGAACGAGGGAGACATAAGAAGGAGGGAGTGATGAAGCCATGCGGTGAGGAGCAACCGTGCTGGGGTGGCAGTACTTAAGGACCACAGAGTGCATCGCATGCATGCTGGCCAAACTGGCGCCCTCGGCTCTCTTTTGAGTCCCTCGGCTCAAAAGTCCCTCGGCTCTCCACTGGAGCAGCGTTCAGTTGCTGCACCAGTGGCAGAGAGCGCATGTAGAGGCCAGAGAGGAGCGGCGCGGGGGAGGGGCATGGGGGAAGGGCGAGGGGGAGGGGCGAGGGGTTGGGGCGATGGAAAGGGGCAATGGGGAGGGGCGCGGAGGAGGGGCGCGGGGGAGGGGCGAGAGGGTGGGGTGATGGGGAGGGGCGATGGGGAGAGGCAAGAGGAAATGACGGAAATGGGAGGGGGGGAGGGGGGGCGCGTGTGCAGAGAGTGTGTGTAGTGGCCAAGAAGGAGGGGAAGGGGTGAGGGGTACAGGCACCTGGTAGAGGCGCTTCTTGTTGTTGCCGTCCCATATGTTCACCACCCCGTCACACCCGCCTGTGGCGAACGTGCCGTATCTGCCGTGGTGTTGGTGGAGGGAGGGACGCAAGGAGAGGCGTGAGGACAACGTTGAGCAAGGGTATTGCATGGCGTGGCATGGTGTGGCATGGTGTGGTGTGGCATAGCATGGTGTGGCATGGCATTGCATGGCATAGCGTGGTGTGGCATGGAGTGGCGTGGCATGGCATGGATGGCATGGCAAGGTGTGCCATGGTGTGGCATGCCATTGGGTGGCATGGCATGGCATGGCATAGCATGGCATGGTGTGACGTGGTGTGGCATGGTGTGGCGTGGGGTGGCATGGCATGGCGTGGAATGGAAAGGCATGGCATGACACGGGGTGGCATGGCATGGCATAGATGGCGTGATGCGGCAAGGCGTGGCATGGCATAGCATGGCATGGTATGACGTGTTGTGGCATGGCGTGGCATGGTGTGGTGTGGTGTGGCATGGCATGGCATGGAATGGAATGGCGTGGAATGACATGGGGTGACATGGCATGGCATGGCATGGCATGGCGTGGCGTGGCGTGGCGTGGTGTGGCATAGCATGGCATGGCGTGGCGTGGCGTGGTGTGGCATGGCGTGGCATGGCATGGCATGGCGTGGCGTGGCGTGGCGTGGTGTGGCATGGCATGGCATGGCCTGGCGTGGCGTGGAGTGATGTGGAGTAGCGTGGCCAGGCGAGATGAAGCAAGGCGAGGGGGGCGGAGGGGAGGGGAGGAAGGGAAGGCGCACATTGGATGGAAGGCGATGGCGTTGACTGGGAATACCGTGTCCCTCCCTCCCTCTGACCGACGATGACACTTGAATGCATACCTGCACATGGACATGCACATGCACACACACATGCACAAGCACATGCACACATGGATGCACATGCACATGCACACATGCCCGCACGCACGTGTGCGCACACACACAGACACACAAACACACACACACACACACATGCATTCAAGCATGCATGCAATCGCACACCAAAGTCAACTAAGTCAACTAAGTCAACTAAGTCAGAACAAATGTGAAGAGAATCAGACGGGGAAAGAATACGCGAGCATGCGGGCGAGGACGCATGCACACACATATGTGTGAGAGGCAGCCTTCCTGGGCCCAGCAGCAGCCCCTCCACCCTCATCAATCACCTTCTGAGGCCCTCAAACATCAAGGCTCGGGAAGTACTCATGAGCTGTGGTGCCAGCGCACTCCCACGGCCTCCTGCTGCCACGCTACACCTGCACTATCATTCACTCACAGTACACGCATACACCACCACCACGGCCACCACCAACACCACGGCCACCACCGACACCACGGCCACCACCAACACCGCACCTGCCTGTGCAGCCTGCCCAGCGGAGCACAGGGCCTGGGCAGGCGGGTGAAGACACGCCAGGCCATCCTCCCATGCGAGGCAGCGGCAGTCACTTGCATCCCACCTCACCCCACCAACCCACTCTTCAGCTCAGGAGCTCATTTCCCTTCCATGCTCGGCAGTGCCCACCATCACGTTCCACACTGCCAACCTACCCCCCCTTCTCTCCTCCACAGCTTATACCTTGATCTTTCCTACTCAAACCGTCCTTGCATCCCTTACAAGACTCGCATGCACAAGCTCACTCCTGAGTGGCATGGCCTTGTTGAAGTCGTCTCAAACGACTTTCTACGGCCTTTTTAGTCGACTCACATGATTCCTCACTACACTCGTGTGTGCACAGTCCCACTAGCTGACCTTTTAGTCGACACAAGCCGGACTAGATCACCAGACCACTCGTTTCCATGCACACACCAGACCACTCGTTTCCATGCACAGTAGGCCACTCACCATTGGTGCCCTATCGGACTCACTTCTTGGCCTGGGCAGTCTCAGAGGGGTCGAACAACTCCATGGCCACGCGCCCCTCCACAGACGCCAGTGCATACCCCGTGCTTGTGGGGTAGAACCGCACATACCACTCATACACGCCGACTTACTGGTTGATTTTTGAGGCGACTCAGAGCCAGACTAGATCACCAGCCCACTCGCTTCCTTGCACGGCACGCCACTCACCACTGGTGCCCTTCCGAACTCACTATTTCTGCACTTATTCGACTCACTTTTTGGCCTGAGCAGTCTCGGAGGGGTCGAAGAATTCCATGGCGACGCGCCCCTCCACGGACGCCAGGGCATACCCCGTGCCCGTGGGGTAGCACCGCACACACCGCGTCTGAAACTTGAGTGAAGATTCGCGCCGCTGCTCCGGCTGCGACATGTTGCGCAAATCATAGATGGACACGTGGCGCCCCGCCATGGCCACCACGAGGCGGTGCGCGGCGAGCGACATGGAGTAGCAGCGCTCGGGCTGCTCTGCTGTCACTGTCAGGCGCAGGTGGGAGGAGGGGGCGCGGGGGTCCCAGCAGCGCACTGTGCGGTCCCAGCCTCCTGTAACCAGCTGGCCTGCAGGGATGTAGGGGCACGGAGGGTGTGCGGGAAGAGGGGAAATGGCGGCCACCATGGGGAAGGGCACGGTAAAGGGTTGCGGATGGGAAAGGGCACGGGGGGTTGCGTAGGGGGGCACGGGGGAATGGGCGGCGAGGCGAGCGACATGGAGTAGCAGCGGTCGGGCTGCTCGGCCGTGACTGTGAGGCGCAGGTGCGAGGCGGGGGCGCGGGGGTCCCACCCAGCGGCCCCACCCTCCTGTAATCAGTTGACGATGGGCTTTGGGGCATGGGGGGTGTGGAAGGCGATCCGGGGGGTGTTTTACAATGAAAGGCTGCGGGGAAGAGGGGAGCAGAAGGCTTAGGGAGGACAGGTGCAGCGAAGGGGCCGGAGAAGGAGACGAATCTGGCGTCTACGCTGAGCAGGTCTGCTCAGTGCACTGTGCACACACACACACATGGTCACTGTGTCAAAACTTGAGCTTAGAATCCATACATTGGTAATGAGCTCGAAGCTCTTTAAGTACATCCAGAATGAGCAAGGATTGGATGGCGAGGGGAATCAGGGACAATCTCTAGAAATTGGGGGTATCCCAAGACAATGTCCAATTGGTGGGTTGAAGATTGCTTGGAGATCACATTTAGGTTTGGTTGGAAGGGGGGTGTACACCCAATTAAACACAACGTGCAAAGTACACTACGCTAAGATATAGCAAGTACAAATACAAAGTGTGAGATTGAGGGCTAACACTAACACACTCATCCATTGTCTCACTGGTGGCATGTGAGTACTCGACGCACTTGACAGCCCCCTGGTGGTGCCTTTTGAGGTGCCTTTTGAGGTGCCTTTTGAGGTGCCTTTTGAGTTGCCTTTTGAGTTGACTCTAAAGTCCTCTATTGTCTCACCTGTGGCGTGTGAGTACTCGACGCACTTGACTGCTCCTTGGTGGTGCCCCAGCACGTCCTCCCTCCCCACATTGAAGTCGTACCTGCCACGCTCCACCGCCCCCGCCACAGTCACGCACACATAGCAGGGCCGGCAGGGACAACAGGGACAGGGACAGCAGGGGAATAGGGACAGAATGACAATGGGGTCATGGTTTTGACAAGAGTGAGACTGCATGGAAGGAGTGTCAAGGTGAGATTGCACATGGCTCCAGTATGGGGCCGCTTGTGATTGCATGGGGCCGCTTGTGATTGCATGGGGCCGCTTGTGATTGCATGGGGCCGCTTGTGATTGCATGGGGCCGCTTGTGATTGCATGGGGCCGCTCGTGATTGCATGTTCACAGGGCATGCATGCCTATCCACTCGCACAGCCGCACGGCATGCTATGGAATGCAGAGGCTCACCAGGGTGCATCATGCACCCAGCATCCACACACACACCACCACCACGCACGCAATCCCTTTCAGTGCACCCAGAAACGCACTCACCTCCCCACGGACTCACCTCCCCACGCACTCACCTTCCCACGCACTCACCTCCCCACGCACTCACCTCGTGAGCCTGACTGATTCAACCGCCCTCCGTGCCTCACCTCACAACGGACTGATCAGCGCTGCCAGCGAAGCCAGAGGTGTCGTCATGGAAGCAGCAGTCCAGCACCGGGCCACGCCGGGGAAACGTGCCTCTCAGCGTGTTGCCTCCCGCATCGTACAGCCGCAGGTTCTGAGCGCGCCACAGGGAGAGGAAAGGGGGGGGGGGGGGGGGGGGTGTAAATGACGACGCACGCATGTGGTCAAGGGCAGGCGCATTGGTGAGGTGCGTGTTGGCGCCCGCATCATACAGCCGTAGATTCTGAGCGCGCAAACGCAGGGGAAGGGGAAAGGAAGAGAGGGGGGAGGAGGTGGGGAGAGGGGGGATGTTGAATGCACACGCTAGTGGTGCGGGGAAGTGGCGTTGTGTGGTTGGAACAAGCATGGATCCATGGATGCACGTGACTGCACAGCACCAAGCGAGGCGCAGCACAGCAGTCCAGCACAGCAGTCCAGCACCGGGCCACGGTGGGGAACGTGCCTCCCAGCGTGTTGACGCCCGCATCGTACAGCCGCAGGTTCTGAGCGCGGCACAGGGAGGGGGGGGAGAGGAGGGGAGCAAAGCAGTGCAAGTGGTGAGGAGCACGAGTGTTGTGAGCGTGGAGAGGAGAGGGCATGGATTCAACAGAGGCACGGGGACGAGAACTGTCAGCCATGGGCCACTCGCTCCATCCTGCGCCACTCGCGCCATCCTGCACGACTCGCGGCATGACATGTGCGATGATGGGTCGGAGCAGGCGTGCTTTGGGTCCACTCACCGCACCATTCACGGCACGGCAGGCGGCATGTCACGAGTGTGGATGGGTGAGAGCGGGCGGCACTCACGGAGTCCCAAGAGGCGACGAGGAGATGGTTCGAGTGGTTCGACAAGTCACTCACAGCATCCCATCCCACAGTGCACCGCAGCAACAGACGCACGGCGCCGCTCACCGCATGGCACGCCACTCACGGCATCCCATCCCTCGGCATCCCATCCAGCGGTATCCATGCGTCGGTCAGACCAATCAGCACTCACGGAGTCCCAGGAGGCGACGAGGAGGTGGTCCGAGTGGTTGGAGAAGCGCACGTTCGAGATGCCGTCCGCCGGCGGGCTGCCCAGCTCGCGACCCAGACTCTGCATCGCCGCGCCCCGCTGCAACCCGCGCTCCTCCGCCTGCGCTGCGGTTGATTTTGACGAACTCGGCGCTTCGTTTGATGGCACTGGCGCCTGACAGCACAGCGCGGTGCCGCGAGGTGCAGCGCGGCGTGAAAGAAGCGGCGCGCGATGGAAGTGGATCAAGAAGGGGTCCTGCAGTTAGCACGTATGTGAGAGGCAGAATCACTCGTGGGAAGCAGTCGCGCAGCTGCAGCGCGCTCGGTAAGGAGAACTTGGCTCGGTTTGATCAACAACTGTTCAATGCGAGCTTTGCTTCCGCTCACCCTAAGCGCTGGAATGAGGGGCGCGGATTTTGATCACATGCCTGTGATGACCTAGAGCGGGGATAGAGACGAGAGTCACCAGCGGCTTCTCATCTCGCCGAAAGTCGCCGACTGCGCTACTGCAAGCCTCAAAGTGTTGCAAATCAGGATTTAAAATCTTAGGGCTATTACAAGCTTAATAATTGTTAACGAATGTAAACAAATTATTACCAACAAGTGTGTGCATTATTTTATTACTCAAGACAATGCACCCACATGCACTATGTTATCTAGCATTTTCCTAGCGATACACCTAAGGGAGGCAGAATACAAAAGCCCGCTACAACGTCTAGCCTCAATGGTAAGCGCAACACACTTAGGCCAGGATGGCCTACCCCAGAGGGCCCACCCTAGGAGCCAACCACCATTCAAACTGCTTCCTTCTGTTACATTCACCAGCTGAAAATTCCCTTCCCCTCTCCTCTACCCCAAAGCTTTTGACAGGCTTCTTGTGCCACCTCAGGGGATATGAGATATGCACCAAGAGGAGCTGTCTCACGGGCTTAGGAGGACGCCTCAGCACAGCATGAATTACAGCAGTCAGCAGCAGCAGCAGCACGCTCCCATAGGTGAGAAGTTACATGGTCAATGCCAACAGCCAGTGGAGAGGCACAGTTGGTGGAGGTGTTGAGAGGCGAGGTATTGCTGCTGGTGCAACATTGCAGGTGTCGACCAATGGATGAGGACGAATGAGCCACAGGCCGGGTCAATGGATGGATGGTATGGGCGATCACAATTTGCAAATGGAGCGACGGCAGGACGAGGGAGCAGCTATTGGCGGTCACTGATGAGGTCAAGGGCGACGATGAGGAAGGTGAAGCCCTGGAAGAGCAGGAAGTAGAAGTGCATTCCTGCTACCGTCAGCAGACTCCTCGCCGCCGCAACTAGCAGCAGCAGCGCCAGCGCTAGCTCGTTCTTGTACAGTCTGGGAAATGGGGTTGGGGAGGGGGAGACAGAAAGGAGGTGATGAAGCAAGGGGAAAGAGATAAGAGCCAAAGCAATTTATCATCGTTGCCACCCAACATAACAGGGTTGGGAGTTGAATATGTTTGTCTGTAGAGCACTCACTTTCTTCCAGTCGGTTTTGATAGCGTGATGGCCTCTGTACTCTTGGGTGGTGTCGTCAGCAAAGGTTGATCTATCTTCACTTTAAGCTGATCCTCTATCCGAACGTTGAGCATGCCCTCGCTTGCGGTACGGGTGAAAGCAGCTGGTGGTGTGGACGGCCGAGAGATATTCGCAACAGACTTGCTCGGTTTCATAGTGCCCTGCGCAATAAAACGGTCAGAAGAAGCAGAGAGGGGAAGAGGTTTGCATGCGTTACGAAGAGGGTGGTGAGAAATTCGAGAGGGTTTTGCGACGGGAGGGGGCAAAAGAGCGCCACCAGAAACCCATCCTGGCCACTCCCAGACCTCTCCATTCACTCACACCCTTCGATAAACTCGCGCTGCGCTTAAACCCTCACACCGCGCGGTTCACTGACCAGTGGTTCGGAGGCGGTGGTTGCGAGCGGTTGGTCAGCGTCGGTGGATCGGCCAGACTTTTTGGTGACGACCCACTCGTGCGCGCTCTTGAGCTGGAAGAGCCCCGCGATCATGGCTTGGAACTTGGTGACTGACATGGTGTTCTCGAACAGCAGGTACGGTATCATGAACGGAAAGTACCTGCCGGGGAACGCATGGGGGAACGCCACGGGGTGGTTATGGTAACGCGATCACGCACGGGTGAAGATGGCGGAGAAAGATGCTGGGAGCTTGCAATGATTGCGAAACGGAGGGCGGGTAAGGGATCAAACGAGTTACTCCTGGGTAAGGGAAGAACAAACACAAAATGGTAAGGGTGCAGGAAAAGCCCAAAACGTGGCCGAAGGCGACGGGAGGGAACAATGAGACGGATATCCAGCGTTCGTCTTAATGTTTCGCGAAGGCTTACTTAGGCGAGGGGAGGACGTTGAGGAGGGACATGATGCCCGGGATGTAGCACACGACCCACAGCGGTAGCTGCGCCTCGGGCACGAACATGGTGAGCGGTAGGATGATGCAGAAGAGCATGAACGAATAGAAGGGCAGAATCATCTTCCGCAGCAGAAAAAACAAGAAAATCATGTTTAGCTTCTTCCACAGCGCGATCTTCGCCGTGATAATATCGGGCAGACACAACCGAAACAGCTGCATCGGGCCCGAGTGCCACCGGTGCTGCTGCTTGCGAAACGCCTCGTACGACTCGGGCAGCTCGCACATCGCCTCCACGTCGTTCAGAAACAGAAATCTCCACCCTTTCAGATGCGCGCGCACGGCAATATCCATGTCCTCGACCGTCGTGCGGTCCATCCAGCCGCCCGACTCCTCGAGCGCCGTGATGCGCCACACGCCCGCCGTGCCGTTAAAGCCGAAGAAGTTGATGAAGGCGCCGTTGACCTGCTGCTCCACCTCGAAGTGGAAGCGCAGGTTGATCGTCTGCAGCTTCGTCAGCAGGTTCTCGTCCTTGTTCACGAAGTTCCACCGCGCCTGCACCAACGCCACGTCGGGATTGTTCTGAAGGGAGGCGGAGGGCGAAGACGGAGGACGAGAGGGCGGGAGGAGGGGGAAAAGGGGGTCGGAAAGAGCAATACATGACGTTGGGCGGAACTTTTGACCATACAAAAAAAAAGAAATCCCCGTTCATCGAAGATCAGGAAGCTACACCAACCAACGTCGGTTGCCATGACAAGTCGCGACGACGACGAGGACGACGGGGACGCAGGAAAACCGGAGAGCATGGGAGATTATTTTCATATAGAGAGTATGACTTGCAAAATCACAGCAACTGTAAAATGTAGGCGTTACCTTAAAATGCGGCACGGTGAGCTTGAGGAAGTCGGGCTTGGGCTGGAAGTCGGCGTCGAAGATGGCAACGAACTCGTACTTCTTCACGTACTCGCAGTTCATGCCGCTCTGCAGATTGCCCGCCTGCATCGCAACGCATCGCAGCGAGAGGAGACAGCGAGGATATCGAAGAGATCAGTATCAAGACCACGGCGGATCAGAACGAGGAGCACCATACTTGCGCATGCCGAACCGAACGATAGAACGGGATTGTTTCGGGTAGGTTCCGGAGCAATGCGCAAAGGGTAAAGAACGGCCAAATCATAATGCTGACCTTATAGCCGGTGCGGATGACGCGGTGACGGTAGATGATGGGGTAGCCGCGCTGCTGCCACATGAGGCACTCGGCTTCGATGAGCTTTTGGATCTCGTCGTCGCTCGAGTCGTCCAGCACCTGAATCAGCATGCGCTCCCTCGGCCACTCCAGCTTGCACGCCGCGCCGATCGACTGGTCGTACACCTGTACGCGCGACGCGGACGTGGCGGGAAAAAAAAAACGTAAGAATACGAAAAAAACACTTGCGACATGACATCTGCTGGAGCAGTGGAAACACAATGACACGCAATGCATAACCGCGCTCTTTGCAACGCAATGAAGAGTAGAGAAACTCGAAGCGCTTACCTCGCGCTCGTTGCACATGGGGATCTGCACGAGCACCATGGGGTACGACTGCCCCGCCTCCTCCGGGTCGTAGGGCGCGAGCGGCTGACAGCGCGGCTTGATGCCCATGACGTTGATCCAGATGCACCCCAGACACAGCACGAGCCGGTCCACCGTTTGCACGAGGAACAGGTAAATGCACGCGTTGGCGAACCACTGCAATGGCGGCGCGATGTAGTGCGTCCTGCGGAGAACAAATGTAAGACACGGAAGGAATTAAGAACCCCGCCAAATTCTTGGTTCATACGAACGATGCGGTAATATTAGGGTACGACCGATCCTTTTCTTGGACGTTCAGGAAAAAATAGGGAAAGAGAAACCACCCAGCACTGCATGTGCGTCGTCCTAAGTCAACCAGCACTGCATGTGCATGTACGACATAATTTGGTCAGCCACTGACTGAAGTTGCGGACAAGACGACGAGTACCTGATGATGACCCAGTCTTGCGTGATGGCGTGGAAACGGGCGGTGATGGAAGCGATGAGCGGCATGACGTGCTTAGTGGGGTTGTGCAGCTGAAACTCCCATTCCAGCTCGCTCGAGTGGCTCAGCACCTCGAACGCCAGTAGCGCTAACGACAGCACGGACAGCACCCTTAGCGTCCATAGCAGCCGTTGCGACGGCCGCGCGTTTAACCCCTCGTAGTCGTCCTCTTCCTCCTCCTCGTCATCCTCTTGATCGTCCTCCGATAATCTCGTTCCGAGATTTCTGAATAGCGACGCGATGGCATAGCCCAGCCACGCAACGCACCCCGCCGCCTTGTGCGCTTTCAACAAGAGCACCCATGTAAACTGTTTCGCACTTCTACTCCGCACTAACTGTTTCACCTCCTCTACGCTCTTCTCCACTTTATCTGGAAGCAATGGCTCCGCTTCTTTTCCGTCAGATTCTCCTGTGGTTGGATAAAGACCTCTATCGGATTTAGTTGCTGTGAGCTTCGACGAGTTTTTTACCCATAGATCCGTGATTTCTACCTTAGTCTTCGGATCGCCTCCCCCGGACAGCTGCGCACTGGGGGCCATGGGTTCTCCCCGCCCTCTCACCCGCTTGACCCCCTCAGTGCCCCCTCTTTATGCCGCTCCACGCGCCAGGTTAGCGATACACTATACGTCCTAGTCGGCAGATACTACTCGCAA